GTCGGCTGGAGGAATGTCACATAAACAAAGAATACAATTTTTTAAATGTGCAATGTTGAGACATGGAAGGAAGCCGCACTTCCATGTTTCAGATAACGAGTATTGGTTGCGCCTTCTAAAACAAGAAAAAGTAACCTCTTTTGTGGTTTGAAATCGGGGTATAGTTTCACGGAAACGGCTGGCGCTGTTGGCGCGTCTCCGGGCGATATTACAGGTAATTTCCGATACTTGGCGTACCTGTGACCATTCACGTGTTTTGTTATTTTTTTTCGGCCAATCAGGGCCACGTTAGTTAGCGACCGCATGGGCTCCTTATGCAAAGGCCCCCCCCCGCATAAAGTTCTGGCTACTTCTGGAAGCTGCATTGTGATTTCATTCATTGAATGGAAGACTGGACGCCAGGGAAGAAATCGCATTGCCAGAAGGAGCCACGACATCGTGGCTGTCTACACGCCAAATCGTGATGGCCAGTACTTTAGGCAGACGGGCGGATACTTTCGCTGGTGTATGTGCTGGACGCCTCTGTAGCTTGAAAGCGACTGTGATTACCACTGGAGAACAGGTCCCTAATCTACAGCTGGCACCTTAGCCGAAGGATGAACAGACAAAGGAAGAAGTCTCTCGTCCTTTTGGCAGCCGACGAGCTGTGTGTGCGAAGCGTAAGGATTATCAGACCGCTATATCTCACGCGTAACATGTGAACAGCGGGGCAGGATAAAAGACGCCGACAATCGGAGAAATCGCGGAACTTTGACTGCAAATGCCTACAGGGAAGAAAAAGATAGTACCTTCTAATTCTGATCAGTCCATAACCGAGTTGCTTAAGCGAAAATAAACACTACATCAACATTTAAACACGTAACCATGATAAATGCTTTTTGGATAGCTATTGTTTCAACCACTACAATACTTTCTGCCCCCTGGGCCAGCCTAACAGATACCATGATGTCACTGAGTGGAGGGGGGTTAGCGGGCCTATCTAATGAGATGCCAAATGAGCACCATTGTGTTGACTAGGGAGGGGGGTAAGAATTCCTGAGGTGGAGAGATTGCGCAAATGTTCTAGCGGCTGTTTTGCGTCCCTAGACAAAGGGTTTTGGAGATGTTGGCATACATTCAATGCGCCACAGCTTTCTTCAAATGTTATCAGATTCCCACTGTGGTTAAGACATCATTAGAAAGCTTAGAAACTACCTTCAGAAATCTGCTAAATAACTTAAAATGCGCCTCGTCGGGGAGACCTTGTTGCTGTGTTTTCTCGTCTCGTGGCTGGTCACATATGTGTAATTGTCCTACCCAGCTTTGGCCACACTTATAGATTGTTGCTCCATAGCTTCATGGATGCTGATACGGTCATGTTCCTTGATGCTGTTGAATTCATCAATGCAGCACAAACCACCATCTGAGAGGACCAGGGCTCCTGCCTCCAGATGCCAATCACCTCCGTCTTTCACAGCTGCTACTGTCAGTCCTTCAGCAAATTATATATTGTGTTCACAAATTCAGTTAACCCAATAATACACAAAACTGATGAATATGATCATGCAGCATCTACAGTTCTTTATTTAATAACAAAGCACTTGGTGACAAATTCCTTTAACTTGAGAGCTGACAGTGAACCTACCTGCACTTGTTGATCCGATTCCGGCTGTGAGTACAGAGCGAGGCATGATCTTAGCTGCATACTTCAGAAACTGAGACTTTCCTGTGCCAGGGTCACCAACCAGCAACATATGGCACTCGCCTTGAGAGGACAAGTTTAACTCCAGTAAGACAGCATGTCACAGAGGACCATTTTTTCCAACATACAGCAAACATTTAGTTTCCCTATTGTCATTGTCACAGGTTGTCATTTGTTGTTTTATAGGGCAGGTCTTACCTAACATGAGCCTGCCAGTGGGCAGATGCCAGAGAGCCAAAAGTAGATGAAGAGAAGAGTGGCATTCTGTGGAGAGCGCAACTATTTTTGGGACTGCGATGGACAATGAATGATAACCCTCATCCCGAGTATTTGGTATTACTTTTTGTCTGTGTGTATTTAACCTAAATAAACTGAAACTGACTCTGAGCCCAGTGACAGTTGAAGATGATGGAATGGGGCTGATCAATCTACACAAGGGAGGATGACATGCAAGGGCAGAGTGGTGCGATGGTGGAAAGCAAACTGAGCTCACCTGCATTTTAGGTATTTTATGTTTGTTTTTTTTTGTAGAGTAGCAACCCGTGCATTCAAGTATGTCTGAAAACTCAGTGGTAACTAAATTCTCTAGACCTAAAACAAATCATTACACAACAAACCAGTACCTGTACCATGCCTCTGACTTAAAGGTCATAACACATATAATGAGATTAATTTAAAGGTCCAGTGTATAACATTTATTGGCAGTAATTATACATAATATTCATAGGCATGTTTTCATTCGTGTATGATCAAGAAACAAAATACCCCTGATCTTAGTCCCAGAAGAATCCGTTCTCTGCACACCGCCAGCCAACACCATGGCTACCGCCAGTTTAATCAAATACATGCCAAATACCTGTGGGCACAGGCTCAACAAGATCTGGTTCCGACCTACAGAGAAAGGGGAGAGGATCGCATTTTAAAAAAAGAAAAGAATAGATAAAATGTTATTGTTATGAGGCAAATTATTACATACCAGCTATGGGATCATGTTTGCAGCTATTCCAGAACTCCTCAATTTCTTTCTGAACGTCCTTCATGACCAGAGCAGCAGAAACCTGCTGGTTATTCACTTCTATGTTGTTAGCCTTGAGGACCATTTCAACATCACAGCGAGCGCCATCATAAAAGGGCTTCCAGCGCTGGCACATCACCCCATAGACAGTCACATCATCTCCTGGGATCACCCAATGCAATACATATAGAATATAAAGACACAGTGAGTTCAATCAGATTTTTAACTAGACCTCACCTTGATTAGGATTTACGTTATTAGCTGTTTCGAGGAGCTGGCAGTATGTTTTAACAAGCAAGTATATTTTGTCAAACCTTGTTATTTTCTTACCTGATTTACAACTGTCAACCAGGTCATCCTCCAGAACCACCACCATAGAACGAGGAATACTGCCCAGTGACAGCCTCTGTACCTGTTGTAGTGGGGGGTACCAATTCACTTTTTTTATCTGAAGAAAACAGTAATAATACAATGAGAGAGATTTATTGATCATATGCATAATTGCCCTACTTGCTCTTGTATCTTGATTTCCTGGTAATCCTTGCAGGAAGCAGGCTCAGAGCCTACAGACAGACAGCTGAATTTGTACGAGTTACAGCCGTCAGGATTAGGACAGGCTACCGGTTGGACAAAGGTATAGAACTGGTCAAAATCAGCTAGCAGTGTGAAAACATGATGACACTTTGCACACATGTACTCCCGCTCGTATTCCAGAACCTATGGGAGGTAGAGAAGAAGAAGAAGTAAATCTCAAAACAAAAACTCACATGCAACCACACAGTTATGTATTTCTATGATGTTATATGTTATATACTGTGTTGAAATAAATGCACTAAATGTTCAGTCACCTTGCTGGTTGTACACATTCAGATTCATTACCACCTTTTCCTTTCGCATTTAACAGGCGGCATTTAATAATAAATAATTCAATTGATATCATAAACCTTTGAAAAACTGGTCGACAATAACTACTAGTTGGGTATAGCCCTATAATCTATTCACACTGATATAAACTGAATACTAAATAATACTTACTAAATAAAATATATAATAATATATACTATGCTAATTAGGTCTGAATTAGTTTTTTCTTTTTATTAAAGTGGACATGGACATGGACCAATGTAGTTGAATACCCCTACTCTATCTACACTCAATCCAACTGTTCTTTACATGTAACCAACTAAAAAACAACATTCTAATGTTATTAATATTAATATGGGTACTGCCTTACCAGGATCTCATCAACACTACTGATTTATAAATGACATGCAACAATTCAATGGTATATTTAGTTATTTAGACATAATTAGCAATTGATTTAAATTATGCCTGCCTCATCATTAACCGATGGATTATAAATTACCTATGCTTGTTTGTGATGGTTGCGTGTGTGTGTGTAAAATGTATCGCTGCTACTGGATGTAACAGTAGTATAGAGTGACAAGCAGCATTCAATTCAATTTCAGCAAATTGTTGAGTGCCATGCTGTTACCTCAGGTTATACATAATACTTATTCATATTTATGGGTCAATGACATGACATTTTTGTGTCCAAGTGTATAATTTCCTTTTAAAATTATTTAATAAATTATTGACATATATCATTTTATTATATAAAACGTATTTAGGTTCACATACCTTTTAACTATATTAAAATAATAAATATTGACTTCCGGTTGAGCAGCCATGAGGTAGGCAGCATAATACCCGATCATCAGATTAACGCCATATTTTTTCAAAAGATTCTTACACACTTATCAGAAGAAGTTAAAAGAGGCGCTTTATAATATGCCCAAACCAGCGACAAAAAAAAACGCTACACAGACGAAGGAAAAGGCTCAAACAGCCGAGGAAGAGTCCGCCGAGGAGGACACAGCTAGCCACCCTGATGCGAGGGAGCTACAGGTGGATGCGGACATGGCTAATCTGCAAATTATATTGCAAGAACTGAGAGAGTTTCGGCGTGAAAATGCAGAGACTCTCCGAGAAATACGAGGGGACATTAAGGCAACTAACAGCAGAGTTGACGAAGCCGAAATGCGAATTTCAGAGACCGAGGAAAGAGTGCAGGGGCTGGAGGAGGCTACGAGGGAACTGCTAAAGCTACAGGCTAAGTTGGAAAATAAGATAACGGATCAAGAGGGAAGAGCAAGACGGGAGAATATAAGAATTCACGGCATAGAAGAAGGAGCGGAGAGCAATTCCATTTCGATGATAACATTCGTGGAAAAGCTACTGAGGGAAAAACTGGAGTTGCCCCACACCGACGACCTAAAGATCGAGCGTGCGCATCGCGCATTGGGACCAAAACCACCGGCGGATTCTCACCCGAGATCCATAGTTGTTAAGTTCTCCAGCAGCAAAACTAAAGAAGAACTCCTGAAACAGGTATGGCAAAAAAAGGGATTTCTCTATCAGGAGAGAAAAGTTTTCGTGGACCACGACTATGCACCGGAGACCCTCAGGAAGCGCAGGGAATACGCGGAGGCGAAGAAGGTGCTGAGGGAGAATAATATACGGTTCCAAACTCCTTTTCCAGCCAGGAATAGGGTGTTTTATGAAGGAGAGACATGTCTGTACAACTCGGCAGAGGAGGCTACGAGGGACATGGTGAAGAGAGGCCTGTCCGTGACGATATATAAACCACCGGCGAGTTGGGCTTTGATGTGGCGCAAAACCCGGTCCCGGAGGCAAAGGACGAGCAGCAGGCCGGAGCCTTCAGAGGGATGGTTATAAAAAAAACTAGACAACTTTCAGACGGACTTGATCGGTAAACTTGTGTTGTCTGCGCGCACGGATTCCCCATGGTAAGATCCACAATATACGTTGACTGTGGAACAAATAAGTTAAAAAAAAAAAATAAATAAAAAAAACTGCCCTTGAGAGGCGTTTGGGTTAGTTTAATGACATTAATAATATAATATGTAGGATCGGGGAAGATCTGACTAAGCTAAAAGCATGGACCACTTTGAAGACTTAAAGGAGGGCCCTCCACAGCTGGAGACACATGGAGGCTTTCCCTCCGAGCCGGCAAAACATCTCGGCTCTTTCAGGGTCACAAACAAGACCTCAAAACAGGAAGTTAAACTTGAGACACTAGTGAAATGTATTAAGTTCGTGTTTTACTGGATCTGTTCTATTTGTGTTCTTTTTGTATATATGTTCTTACAGAGTTCGAGTGGAGAGGGGGTAGTAAGATTGATGATAGCACTTGTTTTATAATGGAAAGTCAAAAAGTTCCACTTAGGTTGGCTTCTTACAATGTGAAGGGTGTACTTAATCCGGTAAAAAGAAGTAAAATTCTGGGCAAAATGAAAAAAGACAAGGTAGATATAATATTTCTGCAAGAGACCCATTTATCTGATTCCGAGCATGCCAAACTTAAAAGGCAGGGCTTCAATCAGGTTTACTCAGCCTCATATAAAACAGGACACAGAAGGGGGGTGGCAACACTGATATCGAAAAGAGTAGTCTTTGAAAAGGTAGCAGAAATCA